TTATAGTGTTTTTTTGTATTGTTATAAATAAAACTTAAGAAAAAACGACTTGAATTATTTTGCTATGATTATTATTTAATTTTTGATGCCTTGACTTTAGTCCTGAAGGTGTAGACAAGTCGCTTTTACTTAATTTTTCTTTATGATAACTATAAAAATTGACCAATTAGTCTGTGTCAACACTTATATACTTATATGAAATCCCTATCAGAGCTTTTTTAACTGTATAGAATAGATTTTGTTCTTGCTTTCAGAGAACATATACTTAAATTGAAACGATAGAGATAATATCTTATACTTTCTTATATCTTTCAATATTTTCAAAAGCTTTATTTGAATTAATATTTAATCTGATCATATCTGGTCATATATTATTATTAGTTAACCTACTTTTTATTATCTGTGTAGAGTATATCAAAGCACCGCCTTTATTACTTTTGTATCGAATTGTATTGAAAAGATTTTATAAATCAAACATTCTGAGGGCAAATAAATCATTATTACATTACATTTATATTTAATTGTTTTCAGAGCTAAAAATATTATATAAATTGTTATTATCTCTAGTATAGATAATATGAAATAAAATATGTAAGTTTGATTTAATTATTATTGATTGATAAGTATTTCATAACCATTCACGCTTCAATGAATATTATCCAACGTAAATAAACTGATAAGATGTAAAAGTGTGAATTGATTGAATTTTAAACGATATAACCTACAAAGGCTTAGCGTAACCTACATAGATTCGCTATGAAAATAATTCTCTTCAAACGCAACTCAGGATCAATACAAGGTGAAGTATGTTCTCTTCAAAATTTTTTAATTAATTATCTAGAATTTCAATTGATGTGGCAAGAAAATTATTCCTAAAAACGTTGATAAAAAGACAATACAAATTGTTAACTCATGTCAGTTGGTGAAGAATGCACTCAACATTGTATATCCACAAGCACTGCTCTTGGGATTGTTTTGTTATGGGAGATACAGTGGCGTAGTTAAGAAAGATGAAATTAAGTTTTAAAATAAAAATAATTTAATTATTGAATTTATATTTATTAAAAAAGAAACAATTATAACTATTCTATTATAAGTATTACAAGAAAAGGAATTGTATATGTAAGGACTGCTTTAGCAGTTTAAATAGATTGTTTTAAAACTTCTTCGCCGTCAGATATTTGTATCTGTTTCCTTTCTTAAACCCCCCTTTTCTTGACTTCCCTTTTTCTCATAACCCTTTGGTTAAGTGCGTAAATTCAATTCTCTAAAGATGAAGATATTGGTTCTAAGAGCAGTTTATGAAATTCCTTTTACTCTTTCACGCTTCGACCTTTCACTTGAAAATTTTTTAATATACTTTATATCGATTGAATGGATACCTATTAAGAACGGCTATTAGTAAGTGTAATACCAAATAATTGCAGTTTAATGGATGTACCGATATTTGTAACTTTCAAAATTTTTATGAATTTTTTAGTGTCTGATTTTGTCATTAGAATATGATATTAAATCTTTTCGGAACAAGAGTTATAAGAAGTAAATTAATGTAATTAAATTTATGACGTCATAGAAGTTTTAAATTACAGTCACGTTTTGTTGAATATTACTTAATCGTTAACATATCATGACTATCGTTTTGGTTTCGTACAGTTTTGGATTATAATGACGACTGATAGATGATAACTTTTCCAACAGTTCGGTTATTATCTTTTCGTTGTCTACCAAAAACAATTATTTTAATATAAAAACCATAAGTAGATTAAGTATAGAAGTATAAATATAAGTAGATTACTTATATTTAAGTAGATTATACTTATTATAATATTTATTATAATAATTACTGCAAAGTAAAAAAATATGTAAACGTGTGATACCATTCATTCACTGAAATTTAAGACCGAATCATCCGCCCAAACCACTTCTGCGAATTTTAAACCCGAACTATAAAGTTTATGAGAAGAAGTGCTGGTCTCATAATGAAGGAATCCAGGATCGCATTGTTAAGGTTAAGATTAAGTTAAGATTTTTTTTTGTTGGAAAGGGTCAGCTTAAAAGTAAATAAATTTTGAAGGAATAAGATGGACTGGCAATGTTGCACAACAAATAGCGCAGTGAGTCCCATGTTAATTATGTTTCAAAAATATATATAGATAAATATTGATATAACTGCTTTGGTGTGGGACAAATTAATTGAGATAACTTTGCATCAAAGACTGAGATATAGTATTATAATTGTATTAAACAATAAAGATTGGAATTGTGTTATCACATAGAACATGAAGGTTTTTCATTTGAAGTTCCAATAAAGAAGAGAAAGAAGAAAAATAAAATACTGTGCTTGAAATATTTTTAAACATTAACATATAGAGTGGGAGAGTGGGACGGGAAAGTCATCAGCAAAATTATTGTTGTTTTTAATGCAAATTATAAAATTGAGAGTGAGAGAAAAAACAAAATGTCGATTCAAATTTGTTTATGAGAGACGAAGATATCTATGCCTCGTTACTTAATCAAAGCAGTGTTGTTAAGTAATATATGTCGACATTTGTATCTTTTAGAAGCAAATTATTACAATTTCTATGAAACTCTGCATAACATTCATTTTCGTCATGACCCAAAAAAAAACAATTTTGATGAGCCCATGACTTTCTGCATAATATGGCCCTGAAGAAGTATATATATATATATATATATATCATTTGAGGTAGGCTTGGATTTATGAACAAATAGTTTTTGGTTTTTCATAAATTCTTCTTACTGACACACAGTTTTTTAAAACTATGTGATTTTTAGTAGAAAAGCTTATGGTATATAATATTAATTTAAGTTTTCGATAGACTTTTAATAGATATTGTGTTATTTTTAACTTATATCTAGATATTGAGAAACTTTTTCAATAATTTATAAACCAATCTAGTTTAATTCTTGAGATATCGGCCTTTAGAGATATTCGTGCCTAATTGTGGTTAATCGTCATTCGTGTAATAATGTAAAAAATTACATACAGTGGTTATTGGTGGGCTGCTCGTGTTGTTTTTGTTGTTAGTGTACAAATGTAGGTAGTTTCCAAATTTAAAGCCTTATGTTTCAAAAACTGAACTATATCGGCTAATAACTAAGTTCTCAAAAGATTAAAATATATGAAGATCTGTAGTTAAATCGCAGCACCTGGTAAATATAAGTCTTTTTGAAGTATTTTCTCACTATATATCGATTTATTCTCATAATATTCAATGCGATTTCAAATCAATTATTTCTTCTACAAAAAATAGATGGATAAAGAACATATAAGTGGACATTAATTTGTTTCATTAAGCTGCATATATAACATTACAAATCAAAGACTATAAACTAAAAATTGTCTAATAATTTAATAATTGAAAAGAATTCTAAATAATGCATACCGGTTAGCACTGCTCTTTTCAAGTTTTTATAAATTCGCTATGAAAGATGACGACGAACTTCTAGTCTTAGTTCTTGTTTTTAGCTGTAATAAATAAATAAAGTTTTCAAATGGAGAATATATATATAATTTAAATTTATACAGCAATCAATTAATTCATGAAAGACCAATTTAATTTTTTGAAAGTATACTTATTACTATACTTATACTGATTATTATAAAATTTCTTCTTAAACACACATTCATCCCATGCACAAAGAAATTTTTTAAAAATAGATCATTTACATATTTTATAAAACATTATTAACTTAAACCAAGTAACAAGCTCAGCACGATTTAAATTTAAATTTAGAATAGAGTTCTACTAGGGCTAGAGTTCATCAAAGAAACAATCACATCTTTATATGTAAAAAATTATCGCTCTATTCCACATTTGATGTGTGAGAGCTAGTAGAGCAATGTAACCACAACTTTAATTAGAATGGGTTAACCATAAAAAATAATGTGATTTGATTTATATGTAGATATATGCAGTATATAGTGCTAACCAGCTTTTATAAATTTAAGAACGTAAATTTCTTGTAGGTTTTTTAATAAAAATTGGAAATGTATTCTATTATACAATATAGAAAATAGCGGTTTTAATAAGATTTAATTAATATTTAATTAATATTTATTTAGATTTTTCTATGACGATTAGAAGGGCTGCAAGAAGTATATACTAAGAGTAGTTAGCACTATGTTTATTTAAATGCTATTATATATGGTTTTCATTATAATATTAAGTTAATTTATAAAATCGACTAGTTTCAACTAAATTACTTAGTTAAATTTTTTGTACGTGACTTTGTCAGCGAAAATCAATTAATATATTTAACAGCAGTAAAATAAATGTATAAATAACTTTAAAATATGATTGACTGCTTCGGATATTTATATATATATTTTATATAAAAAAAGGTTATATATTACCCTGCAAAAGTTATAAATCTTTTCGTTATTGGCTTAAGCTTACCAACTGGCACTGTTGATATGTGATTCTTGTAAAAATCTTTGCAAAGCTTTGTTGAAGCTAAAATAACATCGATTGCTGAAAAACTTCAATTAAATTAAAAATAAATATCAACTGAACCTGAGCGAGCAAATGAACGAGTGAATATATAAAACACATTGCAGCTCCTACAATAAGTTCAGTCAAACTGATATTGTTGCGAGTCGCGGAACGTCAAATAGCGCGATCGATCGCTGTGTTTTGGTCGCATAATCATGTGGAACTGTATATCTATGAGATACAAATATTGAAGTACGGATAGAAAACATTTTCACCCAACGCCAAGCTTAACTTTAAATAAGCCAAACTCCAAACCGCATGTACATGAGCATGTAATGTGTACAAACTAAAAAAGTTCGTGAAATTCATTTATTTATTTATGCACTTGAATAATTTTTTAATTGTTTAAATAATTTACAAACTGAAAAAAAAAATTTGTGATATTTAAAAATAGTGAATAATCGAAATTTATGATTTCAAAGTTAATCGCTGGTGAACTTCAAAAGAGTATACATTTTTTTGTAACTTTCAGTTAAAACGAGAAGTGCAAACGAAACCAAATTGGAATTGTATTAACAACCAAAAAAATTAAAATAAAAAAAATTAAAGTAAATAAATAAAACTAATATTAAATAGTTACTAGAGTAGTAAAACCATGAAAATACCAAGTGTAACAAATACCAACGGCACAATGACCGTGAGCACACCCACCGCAAACGATAAGGATGTGGCGGCCGCACCAGCGAAGAAGGGTTAGTGTTTTTAGTTGTTTTTAATAAATTTTAATTTATTAACATGCAATAGAAAATGCATGAAAATGCATTATAAAATAACGATAAATAAGCACTCGAAATTAGAACAGCATTGAGTTTAGTAACTGAATTGCGAACAAGAATTCCATGTGCCAGTTGTGGTGACCTGCAAAATTATCACTGTAATAGATTTCCTTCAAACAAACTGGTAATGTCTGATGTCTGGCAGCAGACAATTCGAAACGAATTATTTTGCATTAGCAGTATAAAGGCGAAGAGAAGTGAGCAGTGCTAATAACATTTTTAGATTTATGGATAAATTATTGACTTCAGCTTTTCAGTGTAAACTTGCGATTTTAATTTATTTATTTTATTTTGCTACTGAAATTTGTTAACAGCAAGCAGTAGCCCGCAGAAATGTTTGCTTGCCCCACATTAAGTGTTTCCAGCACCTAATAGAGCGTAAACTCCAATTGAGGCAATTTCGATTTCTACGGGTGCTACAGTCTAGTCAGTATCAAAATTAGACTTAGACTTAGAGGCAGAGTCATAGTCATAGTCATAGTCAGAGTCAGAGTCAAATAGAAGTAGAAGAATGTGTTTCAAACTAAAGTATGCATTTCATTAAAATTATTTTGCTAATTCATTTAATTATGTGCGCAGTCGCATTAGCGGTGATAGGTTGGCTTTCTAACTAATAAAATTGCAAATCTATATAAGGTTAAAACAACACTGAAACTCGCAGTAGAAGCAGGAAATCTTGTTCATGTCTACAATACAAAATGAAATCAGGAAAGTTAAGAACTCATACATAACATAAAACACGCTACATCTGGTATCTGGTAATTGCTTTCAGGCGATATATTATTTGCTGAAATTGCAATATAGTAATATTAATTTACTGTTAAATACAAGAAACTACATTCCTCTGCAACAAACTACTTTCGTTTATAAATATTTAAATATAAATTATTTTATGAAGCCAATTAAATTTATGTATAAGTACATTCAGAAGTAACTATAGTTTGGCATTTTACTACCACAACTAAACTGAAACAATCCATTCTGTTAAATTTAAACAATTTAACAGATCTATAGTCCTCACCAATAAATTATTGAGACAAACTGTCAAAAATGCATTACCCTAAAGACCTGTTTCTACTGAAAGCAAAAGCTGGGCAATCACAATCAAAATGCATAATTGTTTTTTTTTCCTGTTAATTTCCACAATTTTAATAGTGAGTATAGAAAGAAATGCGCAGTTTCTCTACTTGACTTCCTGTACATCAGTGACCATGAAGAATTGCAGTATTTACACGGTCACTTTGAATGAGTTCCCAAGATCTAGTTGGTGCATACAAATATACTCGTTCAAAATAGTTATGTACTGACACTCACACTAAGAACAATTTAGGGTTTGATAAAATATACTCGTTGTGGAACCATTTACCGAATAATAATTAACAATAAGAGAAATGTGGAATCATGACAAGAGAAGTGTATCCCATCTGAGCACAATTTGATTTTTTGGGACATTTCGATATTACACAAATGTGTCCATAAGCATTTTATCAAAACTTTTATTAATTTCCCCCAAATCTGTTCAAAATATTTTATATGAAGAGACTGATACAAATTATTTGAATTTAAACGTTAATTTAAAAATTCAAAATTAGTCCAAAAACAAGAAAGGGTTGACAAGCAAACGAAAATATAAAAAACTTTTACTATTACTTCAACAGCGATTTCGTTGACAAGAAAATGCTTCAGAAGGTTATATATGTGATTGCATGAGGCATAATTGGGTAATGGCAGCAGAGTTTACACTCCTCGAGTAGTGCATATAAGCAGTTTTGTATCTAAATATGAAAATTTTAATTTTTAAATCAAAATATGTGATTAATAAAAGAGTTTATTTTTGGAAAATTTTGTATTAGGGATGTCCGATAGATTCATTAGTTCGTAAAGTTTTGATGTAGATTGTTTCTGTCTCAAAAATATCATTACCATTCCAGGCAATAATATTTCAGTACCTCCTGCGAGTTTTCCACTTCGATTCTAATTCTATAGGATTTTTCATTTTCGAAAAATTTTGACTTGGTCATATTAATTTTAATTTTTCTTAGTCAATTTATTTAACATTATTTTAGAGATCACATCATTTATTTAATGAGATCAGTATTTATTCGCATCTGTTGGTGATGGTTCTAATCCTTGTCTTGTTAATTCAATCACAATTTCATTCTCTTCTATTTTCTGCTGTATTGGAACTTAATTCAATGATATTACGCTTAATTGACCTCAGTTGCGTTGTGCACTGTTTGACTAGCTGTGAATAAACCTCTCTAAAATTGGGACCCAACTGTCTTACATTTGGTATTAACATATATACATTTTTGTTGATATACTAAAGCGAGATATGTGATTTATGTCTAATAAATCATATATAGTTCATACAGCAAAATCAAAAGAAGCAAGCTTCTTCAAATTTAATTTAAATAAATTTAAACATAAACTTGATTGAAATGTTTAATTTATAATATTATTAAAAAAGAAGAAATAACTTTGTTGATAACTTAATTCTCTTTTTCGTTAACTACAGTATTATCAATTCAAGTTATGATCGTAATTATTAGAACTTCCATATAATCGTTAATGTCACTTAATTTACTTATTATATTAAATGATTCAGCTTTTTACGAATTTGTAATTATTAAGCGAATTTTATTTGTATATAAATATAATATATTAAAAACAAATTAAAAACAGTTTAAATTTACATCATTTAGAAAAAATAAAATCGTTCACTTTTGTGAAAAAAAACAATAGTTTGTTGTACTTACTTAAAGTACTGATTTACATCAAATCATCATAGCTCCAAATACAGAAAAATTGAAACTAATCTGCACTGTACAATTCCGACTGCAGATACTTTAATTATTCGCAAATTACTCCGAAATTAAAATGCTAATTATGTTTTAAAACTATTCAAAAGGGTATAGAGCATCATATTCACTAATCATTTCCGAAAGCGAGAGGTCCAACTGAAAGAAAAAATATAAGTTATAAGCCCACAACACCGCAACAATCAAGAAGAATGGAATTCATTAAATTATCAGAACCTAACTCTCGACACAGGTGTTATATAGAAACCTTAATTACTATTCAAAAGTAAAAAGTGATGATGGACAGACTCAATTCAAAATAATATACGAATCTACAAGTAGATAATTAAACTTATTGTGCTATATGAACGACCAAATCTGCCATTACAAAATTATTTAGTTTTGTTAGAATTTAGTTTTTTTCGTCAAAACGGAAGGTAATAATCAATTTAATTACAAAATTTTAAAGTTGTGTTGAAGAAAGTTCTATAGGTTCAATAATATGATAATGTATTCAGACTTGTAAAGACACATAGAGATCTGCGAATTGATTCCATGGAAAAATATATTAACGATAAAGAAAAGAACGATCTAAACTTTAAACAAATTATCATTAGAGCACAGAGAACTTCATACTCTAGGTGTGGAGTATATAACAGAAGAATTATATGCCATAACTGCACTCTTATATCGTAAACCTTATATTGTTACATTGTTATATTGTTCCCTAATTAAGGGAGTAAGTTCTATAAACACGATTTAACCAATCGACCATCAAACATTACTTATCAAACTTAAGTAATAAGCGACAATTTTTTAGGGAAGAAATATACTATACACCTATTTCATCTATTGTCCAAGATTCATTAATTGTACTAAAAATTATGTATGACTAGGCACGTAGCTAGAGATTGGGGTGTAAATTTATTTCTATTTTAAATGAATTTCTTATCACAGATCATATTTGTATTACTAATAGAATTTTTTAGTTAACAAATAATTCTAAAATTCGAAGCTATAGAAAATTCTTACTTAGTACTTCACTTAAGATATCAATTGCTGTTTTCTGAGCAAATTGTGTGGTAATCTAACACAGTATTCAACTGTCAAGGTGGAAGTGATTACCACTAAGTTAAAGAGCTGTGTAAAAGGGCTCACAGATATTTAAATAATATATATTTGTCGTTATTAAAGTATTTTAGTCGTCAGTCGAATGAGCCTTGTAAGAGAGTGTAAATTGTAATAGATAAAAAATTATTCTGTGACGTATGCTTCTTCAGTATAGTGGTTGGGATATTACTATTATAAAATACTGCGCAAGAATTAATTAAGGTTGTTTGAGATATTGTATTACTTCGTAAACTCAAAGATTTTAAAGAACTCATGGACAAATGCCTTGAAGATGAGGAACGAATATGAATATTCTTTGTGACTGTCCAGCAATAATCACGCACAGAAAAACTTCTTTCATATGAAATTTCTGCCACCAGAACAGATTAAGAGCTTTTCTCCAGATTTAGTTCTGGACTTTTTTCTCAAAGCTTTAAAGGGTTTTGTTTAATTAAAAGAGAATTTGGTACAATAGGACTCTTCTGGCCACAGTGCCGACTGTTGGGCGATTTCATGATAATAGATTGTCGTGAAAATTTTTGCGTGATTAAAATATCTTGATTGAAGATTGGATTCTAATGTTAGTCTAAAAGATCTGATTAACCCCTAGAATCAATCGCCATTATAATCTAACCTAAACGATTTACTGTAGTTTAATCACCTTGTTAAAGATTATGTTAAAAAATCGATAATAAACAGTATTCAATTATTTTAAGGATAAGACTTCAAAACAGTAATGAGACATAATTATGTAGATTGAAAAAAAATATTTTTATGGTTAATATTTATTGTTACATATTTCTAAAATAGCAAATAATTTAAACATATTTGAACGTGTAAACAAAATATTAATTACATTAAAATAATTAATTTACGCACATAAACAGTGCGAGCTCTCTGGCATACTAATTAGATACATTTCTCAAGTTCTTGCATTGCTAAGTAATTCTTAACATTATGAATCATATTTTGAAACATATATTTTCTTTTTATATTGTAATGACA